ATGGTTATATTATTTATGCCATATTCATTCCATTTTACAATTAGACTTAACTTCTATTGATTGTTGTTTTTATCAGAAATAGGACTTGAATGAATTAAATTCATAGATTAAACTAAACCATCATTAGTCTCGTTACTCTTAACGAACTGATCGAAGCTATGAGATAAAAATATTTCTCTAAAACTGAATACAATAAAAAAAAATGCGTATAAGAAAACAGTTAAAGACATAACACTCGACATTATCTTATCATCTTAATGCATTAAAGAAAGAAAAAAATCGAACTATTGATATTTGTTAAGTAAAATATACTGTTTTGTAAAACAGTAAATGCTGAATGTTTCTAGTAAACTAAATTAGGTCAAGCAGACTTAACAAAAGAGAAAACATTTTTTATAGAATAGAGATATCATCACAAGTCCATAATTCTTAAGAAAGTCGGCTATAATTCGATTGACATGAAGATGCTTATTTTTTCGATAAAAATAAATATGCACGCATCAGAATCACAAAACAAATTTAGTAATTCTATATAAAGAAACATGTACGTTATCAATTTTTTCGAATGTTTTTTTAGGAGAAAATTATCAATCTTGTCATATGACCCACCCTTTATGAAAAAAAAAACAGATCAGTTTTTGATAAAGGACAAACTTTCAACGTTCTTCACTTCCTTTAAATTTCGAAACTGTTTGTTTCAGATTTAGCGTCAAAAACTGAATTTAGGAAGTTTCATTCATAAATGAATTTCCTACATTCAGTTTTTCACGCTAAATCTAAAGCAAACAGTTTTGAAATTTAAGGGAAGTGAAAAACGTTAAAAATTTGTCCTTTATCAAAAGTTGACCTGTTTTTTTTTCCACAAAAAGTAGGTCATATGATAAGACTGATAATTCTCTTCTAAAAAGAAACATCCGAAAAAATTGAAAACACACGTATTCTTGATCGGCTCGTGACGTTCTATCTAATCATATATAAGGAAAAAAAAGAGAAGAACTTCTGCTATAATTTCACATTTCTGGCATCTTACCTGGAACATCTCTTTTAATTATGACATAAATTTTATTGAATAGTCGAACTACTTTTTACTTCTTCAATACATGATCCAAGAAGAAAAGCTTTTAACATGATGAAAATATGCTATTTTATTATCAACCGGAAGGTTACAGTTTGTAATAAAAAGAAATTGTTCAATGTAACGTTTCAAAGCACAAAAATCTCTGCACGATAGACTTCAACATTCATTAACACAGAATGGTCTATTAATTTCATTACACTCAGAAGTATTTAATATCGTTTTTATCGTAATTTATTTTCTATGAAATTAAAAAAATTCTTTTTCTTTTTATCAACGGTAGTCCATAACAAAACCCGCTGGTGGGTTGTTTTATTTGAAAAAAAACGAAATCAACAAACAATAACAAAAAAAAATGTTAAATAATGTTTTTTTTTTATTACTGCTTTTAATTATTGAAATAATCTTGTAATGATTCACCTAATGTTGATTCCATATCAATAATAATACGATGACAAGTTTTTTCAACTTCATCATTTGGATCTTAAGAAGAAAAAAAAAAAAGAAAAGATAAATTAATTGAATTTCTTTTTTTAAAGTATTGAATATTATTCTATACCTTCCATTAATTCAGCCATAAATGGTATAGCTTCTGGTAAAAGACTTTGATAATTCATTCCTAATTTTCTTGAAAGTTCTTGTAAAACATTTAAAGTAGCTAAACGAACTTTTGATAAATTTGATCTTGTTTTTAATAAAATTTGATAATGAATTTGTCGCCATAATGGTTCTTCTTTTGTTGCTGATGTTAAATTAACAATACATGGTGAAACATTTTGTTGTATCCATTGAGAATAATCATCATTTGATGTAAAATTTTCTAACTAAAAAATTAAATAATTTTTATAATAAAAGAACAAAAAAAAAAAAATTAGACATACTTGATCAACAATTGGCATCATAAGTAATTGAAAACGTTCGTCATTTATAAATCCTACACTATCAAATAAACATAAATTTGATATTGTACCTAATATTCCATTAATTAATTCAGTTTTATTTTCTTCAACATATTTTTTACGAAAATTTATTTTAAATTCATTTGATATTTCATCAGTTTTTGATGAATTTAATTGATTAAGAATATTTGATGAATGTTGAATTATATGACCAGCAAATAATGTAAATAAACCTTTTAATTTTTTTGAAAGTCTATTTTTAATAAAAAAAAAAAAAAAAAAAAACAATAGATTATTTTTAAATAGAAATAAAATTTCTTACATAAATGTTAAACGATAAAATGTTAATGTATATTCTGATGGTGGTTCATTATAAATTGCCCATTCATATATTGTATAAAATAATGGTCGAAATGTTTCTTCTGATAAACGCATAACAAGTTCAGAAAAACAATCAAATATATAATCTTCATAGATATTCATTTTATTAGGTTGCATTTTTTTTGTATGTATTGTACGTAATGTAAATAATTTAAGAAATAATTGTTTAAGTAATGAATAATTATTACTTAAATCATCTAATGTTGCTATTGATAATGATTGTTTTAATAATGTCATTAATGATTCAAGATCATTTAATTGAAATTCATTTTTATCAATAACATCATATAATATTGGAAATAAAAGACGATGTGGAACATGTAATGCTATATGAGACCACATTGTTCGTAAACGTTGATCATTTATTGATGATGGATGTGTTAATAATGTACATGTCTTTAATTAAAAAACAAATAAATAATAAAAATTTTTTTCGAAAAATTATTTTTTTTTATTTTACTCGTTTAATAATATCAGGTAGATATGGTGTAAGATAATTGCATAATGTTCGAACTAATTTTGATAAACATGCAATAACACTTGTTAGAAGTAATTCATTTCTAAAGAATTTAAATTATAGCTTTGGTTTTTTTTTTATTAAACTAAAAATATTTGTCTTAGAGTAATGTTTAAAACAGTCGAATTTTTCTAAATTGAAACTTGATCTTTATGATATTAGAATAAAATGAAATATCTTCAAGTTCTCAGTGATTTTCTTTTTTCAATCATATTGAATTTGATATAATTATAAAGAACTACAAGAGAATAATTTGACTACCTTGACTTGTTTGAAAAAGAACATAGGGTATCTTATTTATCGATATCAACTCTAACGGTATTGATGAATAAGTTTTCCGAGCAATATTTTCCTTCATTTATAGATCGATTATGGAAGTCAATAGAAAATTTAAAACATTTGGATTAAAATAAAAATTTTGTGCTCTTTCCGAACATATATTCGTGATTTGTATAAAACTTATAGATTAGGAATTATGAGTGAATCTTTGAAAGTTCTGAAAATGATGTTTAGCTAGGTTTAAACAAGCACAAAAACCTATACAATGTAGAAGTAAAATTAGTTAAAAAATATATTAAAAAAAAAGAACAAACATTTCAAAATAAAACCATATCCTAATCTTTAGTTTTCTATGATGTGTCTGTCAATAATCCGATTCTTGGTAAAAGACATATTGACGTCTTCAAAATTCCTTAGTTTTCTGACTGAGAAAATCAACTCGATTATTTCCGAAGAATTGCTAAGAGACTTTCGATTCTTAGCTCACTTTGTAGAAGACTGCCTCGGTCTTTACGCTAAGGGTATCATTGCTGTGAAGAATATATGTTGTAGAGTCCTGCAACCTGATACGATTTGTTGTCGAGTTTTTCTCGACTTGTATTTTTTCGTCGCGTATGTTCTTGTCCTTTATTATTTTATGTTCATAAATACTTCTTTTTTTCATATTTTAATTGTTGCTATCGTTTCAAAATGAGTTCGAAAGGGTGCGGATCTAGGTGAATAGAATATCGAAAGCTACGCTCTATACCCTCAAGTGATCCATTTGTTGAAAATCAACGAATGTTTTTTCTTGGATCGAATATGAATCCGAAAAGTTGAATCCGTGAAGGACTCTCGTGTATTGTCTAGATGCTGCCTCAAAAAAAATTTCAAATAGTGATTCAGTCAACCAAAAGACAATGGAAGTAATTTTAATTATGCACATTTCGAATGTATCTTCAGAAAGAGTACAAAGTTTTCTGTTGACTTCCGTGATCGGTCGAACATTTATGTCTCTCATTATATTCAATAGATATTTTTCTTTGTTTATCTTTTATTACATACTTAATAACATTATCTGATTGATATGTTTGTAAAACATGTGGCATAAATGATGGTAATTCGGAAATCGAGTAGATTTTTAATGTAGCACATAATTCTGCTAAACATAAGTAAATACTTGCACTTAAGTTTGAATGTTGTCCACTATCGATAAGGCGTAAATATTGGCAAATAAATGTTAACGACTAAATATATAAAAAAACAAAAGAGAATTATTTATTACATTCACATTATTATAATTTATTAATCTTTTTGCGTTGATCTTTTCTTCTTTAGAACATGACAAAGGAAAGAAGAGATTTCTACCTACGCATAAGATTGATATCTTTTCTCTTATCTATCATGAGTAATAATGCTGTAACTATGAACATAGAAAAATAAAAGGTTGAAAAAGTTTCGTCGTTATTTTTCATCTTAATATGTCATACCCATGACGTAGAGTACAATCAGTTACTTCTGTACACCGTGAATAATGAGTGTATCTATTAAAAATAATTGAATTTCTTTGCATAGATGATATACCCTTTTTCAATATAAAAAAAAACACATATGCGCAAGTCAAACATAGTTAAAACTTTCACCTGAATGTAATAAAGTAACAATCATGATATGGTGACGTTTTCGCGTACTGCCCCCCCTCCCCCGAAAAAACTATCAAAAATACATCATTTTCATTGGTAAAAAAATAGTAGTCTTGACTAATTGAGTACACTGTGGGGAGATATGCATCAGTTTTCAGGGGTGCCTACTAAATAAGTATATATTCTTCTATGCAGATAGATTCATTTATTCAACGAACGCAATAATAATGGCAAGTGACGACAAATCTTCTTTAAAACATCCTCATCGTTCTAAACGACGATTTTTTCAAACGAAAACATTTCGTTTGATATCAATGCTTGTATTAACATTTTCGTATTTTGTTGTTGAACTTGTTGTTGGTTATATAACAAATTCTGTTGCATTGGTTGCTGATTCATTTCATATGCTCTCTGATGTTATATCATTACTTATTGCTATTGTTGCTGTTAGAATAGCTAGACGTAGTTCACTTAAGAATACATATGGATGGGTACGTGCTGAAGTTGTTGGTGCAAATATAAATACAGTTTTTCTTCTTGCATTATGTTTAACTATTATATTTGATGCTATTAAACGTTTTGTTCAACCAGAACGAATTGAAAAAGTTAATTTATTATTAATTGTTGGTTCAATTGGTTTGGGAGTTAATATTATTGGTCTTTTCTTATTTCAAGGATTCCATGGACATTCACATGGAGGTAGTTCACATGGACATTCGCATGGAGGCGGTTCACATGGACATTCAGATAAAAAAAGTTCACATGGACATTCGCATAAAAAAAATTCACATGGACATTCACATGAAAATAATTC